CCCCCCCCCCCCCCCCCCCCCACACACACACACACACACACAAACACACACACACACAGATTACATATTCTTATAACCATATCACATGTCGATTGCTTATGACGATGTAGTTGGGAAGGTGGGGCCGTATCTGAAGACGTCGTTGCCGTCTTACGACAGAAGTGGCACCCGTTATCCAACCGTGTTGAAAAGCGGGATTTTCCTTTCGCAGCTTTGTTAATATCGCATGATGTTTATGCATACCTGCCTGTGCGAATCTGTGTGATACTGTAGGGATACTGTGTGATTCTCTCTCTCTCTCTCTCTCTCTCTCTCTCTCTCTCTCTCTCTCTCTCTCTCTCGTGAGTGTTGGTGCAGTTAAACAACTGCGATGATGTGTCCACAATGACCACAACTCAAAACTTTGCGGCAGGGTGTTGTGGCTCATTGGCAGGTGGATAAAATATAAATGGAAATGAACATCACGAGAGGCAGTGGTGCGGAATTCCACTTTTCGGTGCTCGGTTAGGAATGAAACACTGAACGTGTCTTTTTATTGTTGTGTTTGTGGTAGCGAGGCAGGATAAAAAAAACAAACTTCGTGGAAGGCCAAGTAGTAAGTTCATTGTGCGTGCAAAGCGTTTGGCATTGTAGGTGTGAGGGCATTTCATATCCTGTATAGTCGACAAAGCAGATGATGGACGACCACATGGTGTGTGAATGCGGTCGACCTTTCAGTTCATTAAGGACATTAAACTCTCATCGCGCGAGGGCATGTCCGGTGCCAACGAGTCGTAGATCAAACGATGACGACGGACAGAGCCGGGACAACAGATCCGAGGGGGAGGACGGCGCGCCGGATGACGATGGTCTGGGAGAGAACATCGTCGACCTCGCTGTGGAAGCCGAAATGGAATGTGGTTCCGAGGAAGATCCCCCCGACGTGCGGGCGTTTGACACATCCCGCAGACTGGCTGCGATCATGTTGTCTTCTAGGGGTGGCTTAGGGATGTCACTTAACGACATCGACGCTCTTCTCTCAATACTGAGAGATCCAAGCTTCTTGCCACAGGAAATTGTGTACCGCAACAGCCGTGAGTTTTTACGTTGGACGAGCAGGCAGGCAGAGACGAACGGGTGGCGAGAGATAGATCTCAGAAGTGATGACTGGCCATTGGATGCACATGCCGTGCTGTGGTACCGAGATTGGCGCACGACTTTCACGTCACTGCTCAAAGCAGCGACGAGGAACATGGAAACGGTGTCGTGTCTCTCGCCCCTCCCCCCCCCCAGCCAGAACCCACAATAGACAGCGCTCGATGTGGAGCATTGTGGCATCACGTTCAGACCGTCATCAGAGCGCACAAAGGCATAGATAAGAATGGCAGAACACGGTATGCAGTGCCAATCTGTCTGTATTCTGACAAGACACATGTAGATGGACGACAGAAACAAACAGCATATCCATTAATGATGTCAATAGGTGACCATGCGCATGACGCGACACTTCTCCCGTATCTTCCTGTCCTCCATCACCGCCCAGGAGACAAGGGATGGGGTTTGCAAAGCACCGGGTTGAGGCAACGCAAAGCCGTCATATTGCACTCAGCTCTGTCTGCGGTGTTGCAGGCTGCGAAGCACGCGTCGCATGATGGCATTGTTTATGACGATGAGCGCAGGGGAGAAGAAACAGTGCACCCTTTCCTGCTGAATTATATTCAAGATTACCCTGAGAGGTGCGCCATCGCAACGGTTCGATACGGTGTTTGCGCGACATGCACAGTGTCAAAATCACATTTTGATGTCATTGCAGACTTCAATAACTATCGTCGATCACAAAGCAGGGAACGTGCACTTCTAACTGAATTCCATACGACAGACAACGATGATGTTCGTCGCTTGGCGAAGACACAATTGTCGAACTTGAACATGCACACGCATGTGAAAAAACGGTCTGTGGGGGTTTTATAGAGGTCCTGAAGACGATGATCCGATGTTCGACTACCACCTGGTTCTGCAACGAGACCGCATGCACACCATTGAGCACACCATTTTTTTGCACATGTTAGATGCTTTCAAAGCAACTGCCCTTGACAAGTTAAGCCACGTCCCACAAAGCCATGTGTTGAAGGAGTTGGATGCGAGGTTGCAGACGTTGAGCGAGAGAAGCAGTACTACGTATCCGCAACTTGTGCTACCTGTTGCAACAGGTTGCGACTACTTTTCACAAGAGGGTCGTTTCGAAGCTAAGCAGAACCGGTCGATCATGACAGTGTGCGTATTCGTAGTGTCCAACATAGTCCCCGGTTCAGTAGGGAAACGAATAACATCTTGTTTCAAGAAACCAATGAAACTGTACATCTCAATGTTCCGGTGCACAAAGCATTCAAGTCATTCGCTTGACGCATGTGACAATCTGATGACGAATTTCATAACAACCCTCAAACAGGTCCTGGGTCGTTATCAAACCTCCAACTGGAAAGTGTCGAAAATACATGACCTTCTGCATTCGAGGGCGTGCATCGAACGTTCAAGTCTCCCTGACAGCTTCGCGGCCGATGTCTGGGAGCACCACCACCAGAAGTTTTGCAAACAGCCTTTCCTGTCGTCGAACAAGCGCAAAGCCTCGCTTCAAATGGTAAATCATGTGCGAAGGACAGTCGCATTCGACGATGACATTGACCGTGGACGGAAATACAGGAAGAGGACAACTGAAAATTGGTCGTCGGTCATGGAGTGCTCGGCACGTGGAATGAACACACTTGCCGCACGCGACACGGCAAAGATGCAGCTCCGATATTTCCCCCGAGAAAATGCAGGAACAAATGGGAACGAAGGTGCGACGGGAACCACCAAAGCAATATTGGATGCCCTCCCGTGCAAGGAGTTATTTCGAGAAGGTCTTCACACGTACATGTCGAAAAACGGGTGCAATCCACCGCCAGAGGACATGTTAATACGCACTAGAACGCATTTTGCCATCGCCGCAACAGGCGATGAAACAACCAGGGGCGCACTTGTGCAAACTGCGAGGGCTTCACCCAACTTCCACGGGAAAGCGGTGCACAGTGATGTGTCTGTGAGGGCACAGACAGGAAGTATGTGGTATGCATCTGTGGCAATGTTTTTTGTCATGAACACATGTATGGAAGGAGTGTCCACCACGCACGAGTGTGCCTTTGTAAAATGGTACAAAGAGACAGACATTGAAAGAGCAGATGTGATAGGGTGCAAAAAATTGAACTGGGAAGTGATAAATGGTCGCCAGCTGTGCAACGTCATCTCCGTTGACAGTATCACGAACACTGTATACATTGTTCCATGTTTCGCAAAACCGAAGTGGGGTTCATCAACATATGGAAGACAACATGACGACACTTTTTACTTGAACAGATTTGTATTGTGATATGTCGCTCGCGGCGCTGAACGGTGACAACACGGTCCGGTTGGGTAGTACGTGCCAATCAAAGGAACACCGTTCACGCGCCACCTCTTTATGGCCCCCACGACCCAATTCTCTCTCTCTCTCTCTCTCTCTCTCTCTCTCTCTCTCTTCCTCCAAGCCTTGTCATCGCTTGACCAAGGAACGACAACCGAAACTGACGCTAAAAAGCTCGTGAAAATGCTGCTGGCTTGTTCACAGGTAGAATGTCACTCATCACGAGGAACAACACTGACCTATCAGCAGTGGCAGGAGACGTGACCACGAGAAGAGGGAAACGATCAAGAACAACACGAATGCGAACAACAGAAGGGAATAACCCTGGTCGTGAGAGCATGGCCGACGTCACGATGGAGAGTAATCGAGAGAAAACAATACCGAGGAAAGAAGACCATGTTGAGCGCAGCGAAGTGGAAATGCAAAAGATGGACAAGGGAGCGACGCACACGGAGAAGAGCCCAGAAGCCACAATGACAGAAGCCGAAGAAACAACAGAGAGGACCGGCGAATTGCAGAATAATGACAATGGAGGCTATGTTGGAAAGATGGGAGCACCTGTCACGGAAGGACTCGTGGTACAGCAGGATGTACTTGTATGCAACAAGGGGAACAATCCGGTCAGCGGATCTGGGACGTTCAGAGTCGTGTGGGAAGACGAGACAGGGAAAAAAGGGCGATAACACATCGAGCTCGGCGGACGGGTTGGAGGTTGTTGACGAGTCCAACATATATCCACTCACATGGAAAGGCAGAAGGGAGGAGATTCGACTGGGGGAGGCCGATGTGATGTGCTTGGCCGTTGGGAAGTGGCTCAATGACAATGTAATGGACATGTATTTGCAGTCAGAGTACGAAGAGCAATGTCAAGGTAAGGACACCGCAGAAGTGCATGTGTGCACAACGGTTTGGAATCCGCAATTGCTCGCTAATTAGCAAGGTGACACAGCGAAAAGGGGATGGGAGTTGCGTGTGAAGAGTCGGATGACCAAAGTCCATCGACAGTGTAAAGACCTCGAGATTGCACCGGTTGTGCTTATTCCAATTAACCACAAGCATCATTGGATGCTGCTCATATTGTTGAATGTAA